CGTACAGTAAAGCAATAAATGAATACATAAAATACACTAAATACAAAGCTCACACGACCCATAAAATACAAATAAAAACAATAACAACCATACATAAAACAATAAAATCAATACAACCAAAACAAGAAATGTCAATTTCAGTTATCAAAGGCCAGGGAAAAGAGATGGGTCTTAAGAAGAGACTTAAAAACAGACAGTGAAGATGCCCGTCTAATGTGCAGAGGTAGATCGTTCCACAGTTTAGGAGCTGCTACAGCCAAAGCACAGTCCCCTTTAAACTTGCGCTTTGTTTTGGGCGCACTTAGGAGCAGCTGATCGGCTGACCTGAGAGAACGGGTGGGTCTATAGGGGTGTAGCAGCTCAGAGATGTAGGGTGGGGCAAGACCATTAAGACATTTAAAAGCAAATAAAAGAAACTTAAAATGGATCCTTTGATGTATAGGCAGCCAGTGGAGTGAGGATAAAATGGAGGAAATGTGCTCGTGTGCAGCAGCGTTTTGAGCCACCTGGAGACAAGCAACAGAGGACCCACTGGCCCCAACGTACAGTGCATTACAGTAATCCAACCGAGTGGTGACAAAGGCCTGGATTACTGTCTCAAAGTGCTGCCTAGAAAGAAATGGCTTTATTTTGGCTAGTTGCCTCAATTGAAAAAAGCTTGTTTTAACCACTGACCTTATCTGTCTGTCAAGTTTAAGGTCAGAGTCGATTTTAACCCCAAGGTTAGTGATTGTTGGCTTGATATACTGACTCAAGGAACCCAGATCGGCAGAGGGGATCCCAGTAGTGCCACCAAAAACATCACTTCTGTCTTACTTTCATTCAGACTTAAAAAGTTAAGAGCCATCCAAGCCTTTATGTCATCAAGACACTTAAGTAATGGTCCAAGAGTTTCATTCTTTTTAAGAGGCACATAGATCTGACTATTGTCTGCATAACAGTGGAATGACATACCATGCTTCCTAAGTATGGAACTAAGTGGGAGCAAATAAAGAGAGAAGAGGGCCTAATATTGAGCCCTATGGGACCCCACAAGAGAGAGGAGCAGAATCTCCACAGCTGACACAGAAAGTTCTACCTTCCAAGTAGGACCTGAACCATTTCAGTGCAATGCCCTTGATGCCCACCCACCGCTCCAAACGTGAGATCAGGATTTCATGGTCCACTGTGTCAAAGGCCGCAGTCAGATCAAGAAGCACAATAATACCACAATCCCCGGAGTCAGTAGCTAAAAGGATTTCATTAACTTTTAGAAGAGCTGATTCTGTGCTATGTATGGTTTTAAAACCAGATTGGAAGACTTCAAGAATATTGTGCTCATCCAAGAAGGCCATTAATTGACTGCAAACTATATTTTCAAGGATTTTTGACAGAAAGGATAGTTTAGAGATAGGTCTGAAATTAACGAGATCTGCAGGATCCAGACCAGGTTTCTTAATTAAAGGTTGCACTACTGCATGTTTAAAAGTTCAGGGACCACCCCTGAAAAAAGGCTACTATTTAAAACTGCAAGAATAGATGGCCCTATAGTAGGGAAAACCTCCTTAAAAAGTCGAGGAGGGATAGTATCATTTGTAGAACCTGAACAATCTTCTGTAAAACAGACAAAGTCACAGGTTCAAACTTGTCAAAGACAGCAGAAAAGAGGACAGGGACTGAGGGATCATAAGCAGAAAGTGAGATTTGAGCCCTAATGGTAGTGACCTTATCAATAAAAAAGTGAAGAAATTTTTCACACACAGCATGGGAGGCATCAAAACAGACAGTTTGCAGGACATTGAGCGCTGAGTCTATAGTCTCAAACAAAACACGAGGCTTGTTACAGTTTGACAGAATAATTTCAGCGAAATATTTCCTTTTTGCTTCTTTCATAATTGATAATGCTGCCAGCAGTCTCTTAACATTTGAAAAGACACATGCAGTTTATCCTTTTTCTATTTGCGCTCAACCCTACAGCACTCATGTCTGACAACACGGGTAGTGTCATTCAGCCAAGGTTCAGCTTTAGTTTTAGATTGCCTGATTTTCAATGGAGCCACAGAGTCTATAACAGTTTGGCAAGTGGAGTGAAACCATGAGCTAAGCTCCTCTGAATCATTACATATAGACTCCATTGAGTTGTGAGCGGCTCTTGAAGTGCTGCGTTGGCTGCTTGGAAAGAAAGGAGCAGAGGCTGTATGGCTGTAAACGTCAGAAGAAAGGGTTGAGGAAGGGATGATGGGATGAAAGGATGTGTGTGCACGGGAGATGAGTGCAGCCTGCGAACACAGGGATGAAAAGAAGGCAGAGATTGCCTGAGAGACATGGAGGGAGCAGGCACATGGGGAAATACAACCTGAACCCCGCCAGGGGGAGCTGGAGATGCGGCTGTGTCCGTCGAGACTCAATGGTATGTCAGGAGTGCTGACTGAAAATGAAGAACTGTGGAACAGCAGTGGAAGGGTTAATAATATGGCAGCGCCATGCAATAGTGCGAGGTTTAACTGGATTACAGGCAAGAACAATCTGCACACAACACTGTGTGAGAGCGACCCAGCTCAAATAAGCCCAGTTCAAAGCTGGTGAATGAGGATGATGGCGACAATTGCTTATATTTATAAACATACTTATAGACATTCTTATAAACAGTTGCTATTGCTCCTCCTCTACCCGAAGTTCGCGGGGAGTTCAAACAGCAACACTCATGTGGTAAGAATCCCCGGGACATGAAGAAATCCATCCATCCATCCATCCATTGTCAACCGCTTATCCACACACATCAAAGCCATCAGATATGATATTGTCGACCTTGATCCAAAATGGCAACACGTTCCTCCCTCTGTCATTTCAAATGAACTATTAGGTTCTCTGAAATGTGAGTTTGTGGCTGACCCCATGATTATTGTTTCATCAGTGTTGGAGATTGCATCTGGAGTCACTGTAATAATGTTGCTTTATTAAAATGACACAAGAAGATTAGCCGTGAATGGGTCACATTCATGAAGGAAGTCATTCTCTTCGGCTGTGCCACAGATCCCCAGAAAACATGTCCTCTCTCTCTCTCCTGTCTTCCCCTGGCCGTTCTTTGTCTGTCGAGTCAACTCTGATGTGCTGCCTAAGCAGTAATGTCTTTATTGTATCAAAGCCGACCCAGGGTTCACCACGGAGCCCCAGACCTGGCACTGAGAGCTGTATCAATACATGGAGATTCCTCAACCTCCAGGCTAAAACACAACAGGGTTCTTCAAATAAAGTATGGAGCTCTGTGCCAGGAAAGAAAAAACACAACAACAGCAATCTCTCCTTTCAGCTGAATGGAGAGGGAGTTAGAGAGAGAAAATCTATAGTGTTGTAATGATGGAGTTGTGGAGGAGATGGAGAGAGGATAGTTAGATAAGACAGTAAGAGACAAAAGGGGCATATGAAGGAGAGGCAGAACATGAAGGGGGATTCTTTGAGAGAGAGGAGTTATTCAGTTTATGCCTTCATCCTACGTTCCTGAAGCAGAATCATAACCAGATCATCTCTGGAGGCTTAAGGCCGATTTATACTCCTGCGTAGGGTCTTCATGTGTAACTACGCCGTAGGCTACGCACATTGCCAGGCATTTATACTTGTGTGTAGGTGTGTCTGTCATTCTGCAATTACACCCCCAAACGCTAGTCGGCGGTAGCGCTACAGCGTCCACTGTGTTGACTTTTGCCAGCCGAGCAGGCTAACTTCTGGTTTAGCCCTCCGCTAACGTGAATGGGGGTAAAATTGTAAACATGCGGCTGGTGTAGTCTTTTCAAATGTTTACGACCGAATGGATCACATTCTGATAGTGAAACGGGTTGTGACGGTCAAATATAGTGATCCACCGTGTTACAGCCTCTGTTTTGTCTGATAATAAAAGTTACTTCCTAGAACGGGCACTTCCTGTCGGCTCGGAGGCATTGCGAGGCTACCCAGCCGACCAATTACAGAGCTTACGGCCCACATCGCCTCAACGCATAGTTACATTTTTGAGGAGGTGCACGTCACCTACGCCGTAGGTGACACTGTAGCGTAGGGGGCTACGCAGAAGCTATGCCGTCATTTTGACGCAGAAGTATAAATTGCACATTAGCATCGTCATTAAAAGCTTTTGATTTAATTAGTCGTCATTAAGCCTGTTTTACTGGCGGAGCTTACAAATATGTAATCACTTTTTGGTTGATGTACCATGTATAGTGTTCTTTGTATGCTGAGGGAGGAACAATGCATTGAAAAGTTTCAGAGTTATTAATAATGCATGCGTAGTACAGTAGGTCTGAGACAAGCGTGTTTGGATATGGTCTAGTCACAGTGGTGCCCTGTTTTTTTTGAGTCTGAACATTACACACTGTCTATGGTTTATTAGCTTATTTTTGACATCTCTGCATCCTCCTATGCCATTTCACTGTTTCATTATATTTTACTTTATGTGTTTCTATTTAAAATGAAACACTAACTTCTTGGGGTTAGGTATAAAAGTACCAAGAATCTATTCTGGTCCAAGTCTATAGTCATTCATTGCAACGACAGTTCTTTGAATTTGGTGTCTAGAATCTACATCTAGGATGTTGATTTGCACTCCATGCCGTCGAAGTACAAGCCAACTTTATGTTCAGCCCGAGAACCAAGAAATAAATCCCAAATAAATTAACTCTTAGGTGTAAATAACTTTCTTTCTTTCTTCCTGACCACCAGAGATGGTTGAAATTCAGGTATTACAGTCCGTATAAGCGTAGTCGCATACATAACTCCTGTAGGGAGTTTGTTATGGAATTGAATGCATTTTTTACATTTCTGAGAGGGTGGGGGTGGTTTTAAACATATTTGTTTCACAAGTTTATTTATTTATTTGCTCTTTCAGGGTGACTGTGTTACATCTGTCCAGAGAATACAGATGTAAAACAGACTTTTTTATAACTCTGAAATGTTTATTTATAAGCACGTAAACTACTACCTTTGCTGACAACACAGTCTTCCTCCACCCTCCTCTTTCCTGTCCCCTACAGGCTGTGCCTAGAGGCGAGGGACCCCTACTGTGGCTGGGATTTCAGGCAGCACAGATGTACCACACTAGAGGACAGCTCTAACATGAGCCAGTGGAAGCAGAACATCACTGTTTGTCCGGTAAGAGTAACGACACTGCACCTTTTACTGTATGAAAGACTAACATGGCGTCACATCTGTCCTCATGGGGCCATAAGATAGGCACCCTGTTGATGTCATTTTTGACCGTTGTTGACATAATTCATGACAAACGACTGAACAGAATAGATAGATTGTACTGAGATCAACTGGATTGAATTTGGCTGAAGTGAAGTGAACTGCAGTTCGTGTACTCTCCTATAATATAAACTTCCACTATCCAAGTCCTGTCTGGCACAAGTTCTGCCCTCTAAAAGTACTGCTGCTCTATACTCTAAGCTGCCACTGACACACGTGTTGGATGGTTGCTCACCAGGGGCCTTTAATGTGAAGCAGAATTTGGAGTAAGCAAGGTAACTTCAGGTTTAACCCGGGGTTTTTAAAGTCACAACGATGGTTTGTTTCTTACCAGCCATTGTAACTTGTAGCTACTGCACACCGAGCATATGTTCGAGAGGCACCGCCTACTGACCAATCAGTTCTCTTTTAAAAATGGCGTCAGCATCTGTAGGAGATCCTGTGGAGCACAGTGATTGGATTGTGAGAGGGTATCTAAAGAGGCACTTTGGCTGTCCCTGAAAATTTTTTTATATTAGCAGCAGGAGTGTCCTCACTTTTTAGGAGGGCCCCCCTCCTGTCTTCTTCATTAAATGTTTTCCCCTGTTATGTGCAAACAATGTCAATGCCATTTCATTGTGCTTTTGCATATTGATATCCTACAACGGAGACTTGATTAAAGCACTAAAGTACTGTACTTGTTGTGTTTATAAGATATGAAAGTAAACCTACTTAACACTTTGAAATATGTTGTTATACACCGCCAGGGTTGCAGATGAAAGAATAAGGCTAAAATCATCATACATGCCATAAGAATACATCTAAGCACATCTAAACACATTAATTTAGTGGAATACACAAATGTAATGACATTAACAATAAGAACTTGGCCCTAATGATGGGGCAGTGATGAAAGTGAAGCCTATTTACATACGCATTGATATAGTTAGCAATTTGTGTTGCAGCTCCTGTGCCTCTAGCCTGGATTTGTTCATTTGTTCAACTTCTTCATAGTTATTTGTCAGATATTATAGTTCAATCTTCATTTGTAAAATATGATGCTCTGCTGCCAATACACTTGTCCATGTTTGTGATTGGGGAAATGCTGCAAAGACCACCCCTGACTTATAGAGTTCATAAACAGCATCATGTGACGGCTTATTGTAATTGCATTCTTTGGCTTAGTGAAGCTAGATAACAAAAAGATATCCTGGGTGTGTTGAGCTTGATTCGTGGTACAGGACTCTGATCTCACTCACTGAAGTTTTTTTTCCAGCTGCAGAACCAAACCACCAATGGTGACTTTGGACCCTGGGCGCCATGGCAACCCTGCAACAATGATGATGGTGTGGATGGTGTGAGCACCTGTTTGTGTCGCTCCAGGTCTTGTGATAGCCCACCCCCTCAATGTGGAGGCAAAAACTGCGAGGGCCCCACCACTGAAGTCTCCAACTGCTCGAGGTAGGGAAAGAATACGACTGATCATTGATGATGATAATAACTATAACAACAATCACCATCACATATAATAATCAATACTATAATCTTGATATTTTCCCATGCATTTTTAATAAAATAAATGTTTAATATACTGGGAATCACTTGCCCAAAACTCCTGTGGTATTAAGAAAAATAATAAAATGACTACAATATAACTATAAATGCATCTGCGTCAATGGGAAAAAGACAATAAATAAATAATTGTTCTTGCTAACAAGGAGAAAAGACTCAATCTTATTCCCCTGCAGAGTTCTAATAAGAACCAGGAGAGCAGAGAACATTATCCTGCTTTTAAATCTTTAGACTGGCTTCCAGTTAGTTACAGAATATATTCTCAAGTACTGTTGCTAGTTTATAAATTACTTAGCAGCCTCAGGGGAAAATGCCTTTTTGATATGCTTGAAGAATATAAACCCAATAGGTCCCTTATATCTTTAGTAAGCAGTCAGTCTGTAGAACCTCAGGTAGGAACTAAAACACAGTGAAGCTGCTTTTAACGGATGTAGATTCTCTCTTTTCTACTATTACATTTTGGGCTTCTTATTATTGCACTGTAACTGTATTCAGTGTCTGTTGTTTTTTTGTCCATTTGTATTTTATTTAACTTTATCTTATCTTGTTTATTTTTCTCTTTTCTGTCTTTATATTGCTCCACTGCATTTCTTTGCCTTACACGAAAGCAAGACAAGGCAAGGCAAGTTTATTTGTATAGCATATTTCAACAACAAGGCAATTCAAAGTGCTTTACATAAAACATAAAAGCAAGGAAATTGAAAAAAAAAACACATTAAAATATCATTTTAAAAAGGAAACAGAAAATAAAACAGGTCACAGTACAGTGCACGACAATTAATCCACAGCCTTATATTTGATTTAATTAAAGGCAGTTGTAAAAAGAAAAGTCTTAAGTCTTGATTTAAAAGAACTGACAGTTTCAGCAGACCTGCAGTTTTCTGTCTTTTTAAACACTGAATATAACATCTCCAAATGAGACCGCCAGTGCTAAAAAAGTATTCAAACATGGTGTGAATATTCAACCTATCAGTGCTAAGGTATGATGCCGTAGAGATTAGATGTATCCTGTCTTTACTCAGCCTTATTAGATCTGGTTTTAGGTCTTTTAGGACTCCCTGACTCCGGGGGGGTTGTGAAAGACCTGCCACATCAAAAAGACCTAATTTCCACTCTCAGTGCTGGTTGGGAGGTTTCAACCATAAAACCCACCATTTCCAGTGAAGTTGAGATAACAAACTCTACGCATGACTGTTAAAATGACAATAGCCTCAACTTAAAGCAGGCTGTGAGGACCTCAGCGGCCATTAACTAAAACAAACTCTGAATGCATCCCACACACACAAAGGCTGCCCTCTCCTTTTCACGCCGATGTGCCGAACTGATAAAGAACAGCCCAAATTCCTTTGTGTGAACAAAGAATGTTGTCTCCTTATATCTTGTGTTGTTACTCAACAGTTATTTAGTAGTTCTCCTTGCTCCAATTTTGAGTAGTTTAGTAACATTTTATTAATTAGCAACTATGTTGAAAAGAAGGAACCACAAAGAAAGTTAATTTAAAGTGCTTTTCATTCTCCTGAGGCTCATTTACATTCCTGTCTGTGTTCTTTGTTTAACTAATGCTTTGTTTCAGCACTTTTTATACACTTATAATTGTTATCATGTGTTAAATAATCAATTTTCCCAGCTTCTGAGCCAAGGATTGAGTTAACTATAAGTTAAATAGTCAGTGATTTCTAGGTCCTCTCATGGAGCCAGGGACAAAAAGAAGTATTACATGCCTACATACATTACATTACATTACATGTTCCTCTGCGTCTCCTTGTGCTTAATTTATATTACTGTCTGTTCTCCTGTTTATAATCTGATGCCATGTTCTTATAACTTTCTTATATATTTTCTAAGTAAGAATGTTTAACAATCAGTATTATCCTGGCAAATCTAAGACTTCAGCCCGGCAATAGTCCGTGAAATTTTCTTTTGTCTCACAGCAACCTTCTTAGCCATATTCATGAGGTCCCATGAACCTCGGTGAACTTACCTTTTTCTTTTGTTTTAAGTCACGCAACTTTGAATTCAGAAACAACCAAGTTTCTTTTAAAGCTTCATTTCGGTTCGAATTAACATTAACCTCACTCCTCCCAACAACAAGTCGGAGGCCAGCCATGTGTGTTAGTTATGCTAGCAGTAACACAGAGGACATCAAACAAGGAACTGTCTATCACTGCAAGAGTTTTCTTCAACTACCAGCCGAAGCGGATGGACCTCCGGGCAATTGTCGGGTCGGAAATAAGGACCGGCCGGGCCAGTAAAAGACCTGGTTCCTACCCTAACCAACGTAATAAACTCAATAAAATTACTCTATTAGATCTCTTCTTTAGTCAAAAACTGCGTAGTCAAAAAACTTCACTGGAGACGGTCAAGAGTCGGTGCAAAAGAGTTTATTCCAATAAAGGACAGATAAACCCGAGCAACATCCCTGCAGGTCTCAGGATGGAACTGAGTTGGTGGTGTGTGTGTGTGTGTGTGTGTGTGTGTGTGTGTACTGTCACTGGACGGAGAATTCACCTTTTGATTTGAGACTGACTGATTGATTAAACTAATTTAAATTAATTAAGCAATTATTAACTAGCTGATCCATACCTGTCTTTGTCATGACAAAAGATCAATAATGTCAGTTTTCTGAGGGCTGTTTTATTGTTTTGTGCAGGTCAAAACTCAATACTTTTGTACTACTCAAATGTATTTAGGCAATAAAGTCTAAGGTAGGTCAAAGTCAAGTCTCAATTTATAATAGCTGTCACTGCTACTGGATTTGTGTTCCAATCATTACTCTTAAAATCCCCAACCTCTTCTCCAACCACTGCCATCTCTGCAGGTTCTGCAACAAAGGGGTGTCCTGTCCTCAGCCTGTCTTCTGGTCCCCGTGGGGCTCCTGGACCAAGTGCAGTACCGAGTGCGGGGGAGGTATCCACTCCAGGGTCCGCACCTGTGAGAATGGCAATAGCTGCCCAGGATGTGCACTGGTAGGAAACACAAGAGAGAAATATACATGACATTCCATCAAACTCATTTTTGACAGCTATTTCCGGTCCCGCCCCCACACCGGATGTCTGTATGTAACTGATAAGAGGGTTGCGTACATCCTTCCATTGTGTGTTTTTGACTGATAATTGGAGGAGGTTTTTCATTGATTTAAAGACTTTATTAAGTAATAAAACTTGAATGAAGTAACTAGTAGGTGTTTATGGCAATAAATTTATCATTAAAAAAGTATAGCAGTGAATTATAAGTAAAGGAGGAATCTCCGGGGCCAGCAAAGGATCAGTAGGAGGTTTCTTCATTGATTTGGAATCATGTCAGTCTTTATTATTAAACAAGTGAAGAATAAATTGAAATAATGACAGTAAAGCAGTAAAATGGTATAACGGTGAGTAAAAATTAAACAGCATTATAAATTACCTTCAAAATCTTTGCTAAAGCTTTGTGGGACAAACTTACCATCATTAAAGAATAAAATGAAATAATTACAGTAAAATAGTATAACAGTGAGTTAAAATTAAACAGATTTTTAAATTACCTTCAACAGCATGCAGCAAAATAAGAGTTCCAAAATTTCACTTTGTAAAATCTTTGCTAGTGCTTTGTCTGTCAAACTTGCCATCATTATCACTCCAAAGCTGTAGCCTAGTCTTAAACTTGTGAGTCTTAAAACTTTAATCCTAGAGTCTGTGTCTCTTCTTCTCTGTCCTCTCTCTTTCTGGTGTAGCATAGGCTGTGCAGGGTGAATTGAGGAATGTGCTCCACCCCCCGCACCTCCTTCCCTCCCTCCCTCCCTCTGTTTTCTCAATGAGCCACATCAAGTTGTGTGTTTTAACTGTCATTAGCATCTTCAGGTAATCTTGTAGACCAGTTATGGAATAGAGTTATCTATAACCCCAGACTCCGGTTGTTAAAAATGGTCTGGGTTTATCAGACAGAGTTCGTTTTCGAAACAGGAACCTATTTTTATCAGCCAGAGAGACAAGAGTTTGGAACTACAGACTATATAATAATCTGGTTGTACCAGAAGTAACGGCCCCCAACCCCTCACCAGTTATCTCCCACATGCTGTCACATACAAAATAAGAGGGTGGGCAGAGTTCCCGTGAGCCAATGATAAGAAACTAGGAGGGGTTACCATAGGCCAATGATGGGGTCTGTGAAAATAAAACCAGAACATTGTCTTCAAGAAATTGCCAAGAGGGCACTTGGATCCTTGAGCAGTATCTACCTACCAAAGAGGGGACCTCCATGCGGTTAATTTTTTTCAGCTAATGAGTGTTTGTATCTCTTAAAGACTTCTTGTTTCTTTCAAAAATGGACATTTTAACATCAGTGTTAGTAATATTTAAACATTTCTCTGTGATACAAAAATATTCAGGGCCACTTTATTGAGAATTTACAGTTTTACCTGTTATTCAGAAATAACTTGGATGCATGCACAAATATCAAGATTGCAGTATTAGCAGCAAAAGGTACTTTATCCAGGATTCAATTATATAAAATGTCTTATTACACTAGTGCAGTCATTTAAACTTTCTCTTAGGGGAATTCAGGTTTGTCTGTGGTGCTTGGTCATTTGGTGAAGTAGGCCTTTTTAAAGGGCCTTCATCTTTATCTTATTTTGTATTTGCTCTTCATAATTATAAATCAGGACTAAAATGCGCAGCAGCATGCAAATATTTTTTATTTTTTTTTGTAAGTAATCACTAAAACAGGTTTATCAACTTTTACTAAACCTTTGGAATAATTCTGTCCCCAAATATTGTGAAATGAAATTGACCAGTTATAGACAAGATTTCTATCAATTTTGCAATGTACTTGTTTCTTCAATCTAAATTTTATAGGATTGCATTTTATTTATTGACTGCATTACAGAAACGTCCATTGTTGGCTGGCATGTAATGACACAGAGTTCCCTCTTAGTTCCTTCTTAGCTAGCATGGAGCGACACTCCAGCATGGATGAATAAAGAATGGGGTATTTCTATTAAGAGAATATTGTAATCTAAACTAAATATTTCATTTTTAGTTACACTTACAAAATAAGGACAATTCTTATGTAGCACAAAAAAAAAAAACTACAAGTGTTAACAGCGTCCAAATAACTCTAAATGTAGTCTTTCAGTAACATATAGACAATGTCCCTCATTCTAAACTAAAGCCTTACTCATAACTAAGTCACTAGTCACGCAAACAGGCCTCCTCTTTCCCTTTAGTAAAAAAAAAAAGATAGAATTATAAAAAAATATAGTTTACAACTTCATCAACTGGAAACTTCAAGAGCTAAAGTTTGATCCTTCTACTGAGAACCAGCTGCCTTTTGCTAATTAGGCTTTATTAGACTATTACAGAGGTCATGAAATCCAGAACCCTTCCCTTGGGGATGAAGTATTCAAATGCTAGTTAACTACTTTGTTGACATAACAGGACAGTAGTTTTCTGTTGAAAATAAAACAGAAGGTTATAATAAATCTCCTACAGGTAAAAGAATAAAAATCAGCTTCTTTATTTTGGCTCAACCGTGATCTGTGCTAATAACACTTATTGCACGTTCCAAAGCTCAACAGGAACCAGCAGCTTCAACAACAAAAGTCTGTAACAATATCTATCATATGGCTTTTTATTTTTTATGTAATGCCCAGATTTACCACGGGGTTCTTGACTAGCCAGAACAGGATGTTCAGCAGTCTTACACTGTTTCATTGCAGGTCTTGCATTCAACCATAGTGGCTAGTTTGCCCTTGACAATAAGGTTTTAGTAAAAAGTCTCATCACTGCTGCAACCTCTTTTTTGAGACCATGCTGTTTCTATTTTTTTTTTTCTAGTGCCCCCTTCCATAGCATTTTTCAGAGACACTACAAAAGAGGAAAACAGATTGCCATCGATAACCCGAACTCTAGGGTTAACTCGCAATTTTCATTACATTTGTTATGTAGTAAATCTACAACTGCAAAGCAATTTAGTGATCACTACCATGTAGTGATCAAATGCCAATGCTCTCTCTCTCTTCCCCATATTTAAAATGTGTAAAACTAATACCGCAAAACTCATCAGGATCAATCTTCTGTGTGTAAGTTAACATGTTGCAAATTTTACCCTTGCTACTAAGAGTTAGTACAGGACACGCAACATTAGTCCTCATTTTCTGAGCTGCTTTCTGAACTGCTTTTGTCAAACTTTGTGAGACGTGAAAACATTAATTTCACCCCCACAATGTTTCTACATCACTGAAAAGAGCATGTGAAAATCTAGTTTTGGGGAGAAGTCTGTTTTTGCTTGTGATAAGCTAGCCCAAATGGCACCATCAAAACTTCTAGTTTCACATTTAAAAAAATCCTGCCCCCGCCTTCATACTATTTACTTGTTTTGTGAAGCACATGCAGGAAGGATTGAATTACAATCAGCAGTGGTTTTACATGTCAACATTAGGTTATTGCAGAACAACAAAGAAGCCCCCTGCTGTGAAGAAGCATTTTGAGTAACAGAATTACATATCATGACAAATACATTAGTATGTACCACCGGTTGTTGTGGCACTAAAAACTGAGTTGATGGCTCACTATGACTCTGAACTGATAGTAAAACACATACTTTTGTATTTGTATTGTGTATTTACCATGGGGTTCATGCCCTTCCCTTCTCATGTTCGCCTGTTTGTCCCTCTTGTCTGTGTTCTTGTTACACGGCGCAAAAGAAAAAATCTTATCCATTCTAACCAAAACAATACATATGTATAAATATTTACAACTTTACTATAAGTGTTATGTCAGGATACTGGACAGGATATTATAAATCTAAAACTTCAAAGCAATGTTAATTACATTTTCATTGGCTTCAGAGTTTTCTACAGCAGCTGGCTAGGAGGTGTATTAAGTCATCTGGAAAGGGACATCATGAAAGTGATGGCAATTTTTAGTGAAGTTATATGTTATGGGCACTTATCAGACCAAATAGCAGTCTAAAGTGAAAAGGGCAAATGCTTGAGTGACAAAAACAATGCAAAGCAGGAGAGCAAGAGTCAGAGAGACCAAACTGACATAGGTTTATATGGGGACAAGCAGCTGTACTGTCCAACAAAATACTAATGATGACACTAATTTTAAATTTAAAGTTTGGCACAGCCATGCTTCTGTCTGTAGAATCCACCGTTGTACTGGAAATAGGTGGTGTTTAGACAGAGGTCGAGTAATTTGCAGATTTGGTCAGGGCTGAGGCTAGTTCTGTTGTCCAGGGTGTTGTCTTGTGTTAGCCGTTTCCTAACGGTTTCTACTGCCTCTATGGTGGGGATGCAGGTGAACAAACGTAACCTATTGGCCTCAGGTGAAGATACCAACGATGGTCGTTCAGTCTTGGCCACAGGTAGTCTTAACGACTGTCGTCACAGCAACAAGGAACACTAACGAACCAGCGGTATCGATGACCCGGGCCAACGACCCCACTGAGGTTAAATAGCTGAGTTTCCCTGCCAGTCAGTCAGAACTGAAGAAGTCCTTTGGATAAGGGACGAAACGTCTTCCAGTATCTTCAACCAAGTCCAGTTGCCCTTCATTTTAACCTTCGTTGGATTTTAATATTAAGTTCTTCTGAGGGTTGCAAATATTTTGAACGTCCTGCTGTGCTTTCCCATGAACTAGTCTGATTGACTGTAAGAATCAGGTACATATTCCTCCTCTGATAAATTCTATTCACTTGGACTTGGTTCTTAAAAAAAGCTTAAAAAGGTCTTAGTGAGTACATAACTTTGAGAATAATTCCGTAATGACACTTACGAGCCTACCTAACTAATAACATGTTTAAGCTTAAATATAGATTTTTGCTGTTGAAAGTAAATAACAAAACTCATTGTATCACGCATAATCTATACTGATAATCATTTAGATGCTTAATTTGGTTGTTTGTTTTGAAGCATGTGCAATTCATCGGTTGGGTTGATTTTTCACTTCACTTTAATTGAGGTGCAAATTGATGTTTATGTGTCTCT